CCATATCTAATTTAGTTAGTCAAAAAGTATCAATCTTAAAAGAAACTATGACAGGGCCCGTCCGCAAGTATGCAATTTCTTATGCGCGCTAGATGGGTCTGCTAATGTTTTTTTGTAGTTTGTAGCCTAGCAGGCCCAACTGAAATTTAAAGTTTTGGACACGGAGAGCTCAATTTTCTCGGATTTTCTTACAGAAAATGTGAAGGCTTTCAGCCATATTAAGCCTATAATATAAAACAAAAACGGAATATTCTGAAAAAAAAAGGGAAAACTCCGCTGATTCTAATTTCAATACTTTTTCTGACTGATTTTTTCAGAACATTCCGATTTTTGCTTTATATTGTCTTAAAAAACATTTTTCCTGCGAAAAGTTTCAGCCTAAGGCTTTGATTTGAACAAAAAAACACAAATTTTCAAAATTTTTGAAATTTTCAGCGAGAAAATTGAAAATTTCGCCGAGTTTTCGAATTTCAGTACTATTTTACTTTATATTTTTTTCCAGATTTTTTCCCTCTGGGCCATCTTGTCTGAAAATCCCGAATTTCGCCTGAAAATCCAACGTTTTCCCTGAAAATTCTGAAAACTCACTTCAAAAAATTTGACAACGACACTCCGAAATAACGGTTCCTTTTCAGCGCCAAGAAGCTGAATTTGAATTTTATTTTCTCATTTTTTGTTCTTTCTCTCCTCATTATCATCTAGAAAATGGTTTTTCGCTGCTTTTCATCGATTTTTAGAGTATTTTCCTTCTATTTTTAGCTATTTTGACCATTTATTTGATCCTTGGTGATTCTGTGTTAGTGATTTCAGTGCAAAATCGTTGAAAAGCCCATTTAGATGACACCCGACAAAGAAAAAGGCTCTCTTATTTCTATTTTCCCCAGTTTCTCGAAGCGTCAGGGGTTTTCTTCTTGAGAAGATGAAAGCGAAAAAAAATGAGAGGAAAAATAGAAGCGAAGAACCAATAAATTGACGAAAAGTTGACGATTTTTCACCTATTTTTCCTCGAAACTTGTGATTTTTCGAACTTTTGTTCCTTATTTTTGAAATAGTTTTCAGTTTCATCAGCTTTTTTTGCTGAAAATCACGATTTTTTACGCAGAATTCGAAAAAATCGCCGCATGTAGGCGAAACTCCCTGAAAATATTGGCCTGCTAGACTACAAACTAGAGATATCGAATTAGCAGACATTTTTTGCGTTCGGAAAAATTAATGATATCTCAAAATTTTTGCACTTTAGGCTAATTTTTTCTGAATTTTATGTTTTCAACAATTCTAAAAACCGAAATTTTCCAGCACGAATTTTATCACCATTTTTTCTATTAAAGTACCAATTAAATCTAGTTTTTAAGCTCAAAAACTCATCTAACGAATTTCTCGTGATTTTTTAAGCAGTAAACCTTTTTTCTAGCTTTAATTCGAAGATTGTTCCCTTGAATTTGAGCGCGATAAACTACAAACTACAAAGAAATCGCTAGCAGGCCTACTCTCACGTGTTGGTCTGCTAATGTTTGCCTTGTAGTTTGTAGCCTAGCAGACCTAATTGACGAATTTCCAATGCGCGCGATATGGGGGTGCTAGAGTTTGTATCATAAGCAGACGGCTACCAAGTCCTACCAGGGGTCTGGCATTTGAATCCTGAAACAAGAAAAAGTTAGAAAAATTCCGAAGAAATCGGGGAAAATCGGAGAAAAATGACTAATATTGACAAGTGGACCTGCCAGACTACAAACTACAAATTTGAAATTAGCAGGCCAAAACGAAAGGGGAATTATCAAAAGAAAAACGTATTTTTCAATATTTTCGTTTTTTCTAGCTCGAATTTGATGGTTTTTCCTCTTTCGTAGACTACCAACTACAAAGAAGTAACTAGCAGGCCAAGTCT